ATATAACAAATATTTTTAATACGTGGGATTTTTTTGTTTTGTCTTATTTTATTTTCTTCTGCTTTACCTCTTTATCATTAAACAGCTCGGATGCATATGTGTTTGTGGCTGGGGTGGGGGTCAGGCCCTGGTTATTTAGACCTCCTGTGGCTGATGATTATTGCAGACTCTTTTCTGTTTTGTTTTATTAATCCTCACCTGAGGATATTTTTCCATTGATTTTTAGAGAGAGTGGTGAGAGGGAGGGAGGGAGAGAAAGAGAGAGAGAGACAGACAGACATCGACATCGATTGGTTTCCTCCTGCAGGTGTCCGGACCATGGCCAGGGATCAGATCTGCAACCCAGTTATGTGCCCTTGACCAGGGTGACCTTTTGGTGCATGGACTGAAGCTATAACCACTGAGCACCACCAGCCAGGGCTATTGCAGACGCTTTAGTAAAGATTCTAGGGCTTAGGGAGGCTGTGGTTATGTGGGTGTTTTGAGGGAGGTTTTGGTATTAAAGACTCTTCACAACCCATTTGACCCTGTTGCCTTGGCCAGGTGGGTCAGAGACCACCCTTAACCTTAAGCTCTCCTTCCTCTAGTCCTGCTTGAGTGAACTGCCATTCCTCTCAATTGAATTCAGAACTTTCCAATCATTCTGGATTCATATTTTAAAAACCTATGATGCAATTTTTATTTTAAGAATTGGAACAGAGGAAAATAACATATGCTTGTATTAACAAGAGAAAACCATAGCAATTGCATCCACATATTATGGTTGGGTCTCAGATTCGATGAACTCTGGGATGAGATGGAAAACATAATAAGCTTGATTCTGAAAATTGAATAATCAGCATTCCATGTGGCTCCAATTGTAATGGATGGAAAGACATAAGCAAATAAAAGGATGGTTTGCTCGTAAACTCTTCTGAGACTGTCACCATAAAAGTGGATTTATCTCTTCAAACGATTGTCCATTGAACTGTGGAATAAGGAACACAACCTCCAAATTTGAAGTATCGCCATTTTAAGTCAAGTTTTGAAAAAACAAATCCAGACACTTTTAAATTTATAGGATTAATCTTCCGTCTTTCCGCCAATAACAAGAAAATTGAATCTGTAAAATTACGTTCGGTATATAATTTTCAGCTGTGTAATTACTGTTTAAAGATACATGTCTTCAATTTCTTCTGCCTTTTGAAACTCCAGTCCATTTCAAATCTTTTGTTAATAAGCAATTTAGTTCTCAGAGAATGGTTTCTTTGTGTTGGTAATTAAGTGTTATATTTACACAAAGGAAATAGTGAAATACAATCCCTTCCAAAAAGAACATTCTAAAATATTCCACTAAGCAGCGCAAAAGCATGACCATGCAGTAGCTCAATTTCTTCTGGTGATACCAACAAAACCTCCCTGATTCCTCTGAATGATATACCTGTTCCTTTTAGGTGTGACAATTGATGAAATATTGGAACAACTCAATAGCAATTGTGAAAGTGAATATACAGCAAAGTTTATCACTTGATACTTTGGCATTAGGTCTGGCCCACTGTGGCTTGTGCTTGCTTCTTAGGCAGCAAATACTTGCAGGGCAAATGTATTTTCTACCCATTTAATATGGTTACTGATGTGAATTTTTTTCTACAGTGAAAAATGGTTATTAATTAATATACTAACAAACATGCATGGGGCACCCCCTGCCCATGTGACAGTAACTCTGCCAAGAGCTGCAGAAAACACAAGTCTGAGTAAAGGGGGCCCACCCTCACTGGGGTCCAGTCTGGTCAGGGAAATATGATGAATAGGATTTTGACAAGCAAAGGAGAAAGGATAGGTTCCAGCGGTGGGCATTGGGGTGGCAGGGGACAGAGGCTTGGAGGGAGGAAATGCAAGGCATGTTTAGGAAAGAGAAATATGTATGTGATTATCATCGTATTTATTATACGCCAAGCACAGTGCTAAATGTTTTATTTGCAATATGTCATAAAGACCCACTCATCCTAGTCTGGGTGGAATTTTCCTACGTGAGCACTGAAAACCCTGCATACCAGGAGGCCTCTCAGTCCTGAACCAACCGGGACTGTTGGTTACTGGACATGCATTCCTTAGGACTTTGAGATCTAGGCTACTATCATTCTCAGTTTACACATGAGGGCAAGGAAGGTCAGGAGGCAGAGGAATGCGTCTCAGATTGCATAGTTGCTGATACATGGGGAGCTGAGATACGCAACAGCAGTGCTCTGAACTATTGGTGCGAGACATGAATCCTTAAGGCTAAAAGGGAGGATTTGCATGGCACAGTTCCAGGCGGCAAAACAAAGAAAAGGAAGTTGGTACAAAACTGTGGTGGACTCCAAGTTCAAGGATTTTTCCTATGGGCATTGGAAAGTTTCTAGGTAGCAGAACATCATGGTGGAAGCATTCCTGACTAATTTGATATTCGTGGCAACAAAGCAATTAGTTCAAATACCATTTTGTCCCACCACAGTCTTTTTATCTCTAGACATCTACAAATCACCCCCTGAGGCTGCTGCTCCCAAACCCTAAACAAATCAAAGAGAGTATATGGAAGATCAAAGGAATATGTCCTATTTCTAATCCATTTCAAGCTTTTTTTTCCCCTTCACTTGTTAATATTTTCCCCCATGTTTTTCTCTCTAGCAGAAACTAGAAACACTTGAAAGGTTGTAAGCAGCTTTGCTTAAACACATTTCTTCTCAAGTCTATCATGTCTCAAATCTCATTTCCTTAAAGAAATAACAGGTAGAAGAGGTGCCGGGTCTCGGCTTCTCTCTGAGCAATGAGAACAGAGCGGGGCAAATAAATGTGTGTGTGGCTTGATTTAGAGTCTCTGTGTGTGTGTGTGTGTGCACATCTTTTGTCATTTTACCAATTTCCTGTGAGGCTGCTTATGCCCTTTTATTGCCTTTTATTCTGAACTGTCAGGTGGTTTATTTGAGAGGGTGGTGGCTGGGATCGACACATGCTATTTGTTGAGATGTATGCCATCTGAGGTCAGCGTAATGCCATGGTCTGGTTAGTACAAGACAGCCACGCAGAGAAAAGTCCATTCATGGGGGAAGGTGGTGATTTTTCAAGAAGTGCCTCTCCCTATTTGATTCAAAGAGATATGTTATGCAGAAACCTGAAACAGCAAGCCTTTGTGCTGGAAAGATCCATTCAGCTGCATTTCATAATGTTTCCTGCCAAGTCACTGGGTCCTTGCACTCCTAAGCTTTTTCAAAATTGAAAACCATTGCCTTTGCAGGAACAACCCATCCTTCTCTAGGAGGTCCCGTCCAGTTGGTCAGAACTCTTTTCTGGGAGTTTATTTGATGATAAATTATATCAAGAAATTAAACAGAAACACCATTAGCAATGTTGACAACATTCCCACACACATGAAAGATTTAATGAAAAACAAGAGCTAGGGAGTTTAATTTGCACACAAAGGACCTATGTAACATGGATATTCTCTGAAAGGTTAAAGTCAGTGGTGCATAGCTATCTCATCCACTGATTAAAGAAGATTTGATTTATTTAAGGAAAAGGGGATGGGAGATGGGGATATTCAAAGGGAACGGATACAAGAATAAAAAGGGGCCTTGAAGACAGGCTTAAGGGGTTTGTCCGGGACGAGCTGCCATTGCTCATTGCTCCCCTGGTTGCAAGTCTCATGAGGTCCCTTAGAAGTTGGGGGTATGTGCCTGTGGGGGGAATGGCTATGGCACGCTCCTTGGTGGGAGAGCCTGCACTGTTCTGAGCATATCTGTCTCCCTTGCTGGTGGAAATCGTAGGGGAGGTCTCATTAGGATACTCATCAGCTTTCCAGGTGTCTCTTTAAAGGTTGTGCTCTCCACTGA